CTGACAATCACCCTTCTACTCTGTCTCTATGAATTGGACTATTCTCAGTACCTTATATAAGTGGAATCATACGGTATTTGTCTTTCTGTGACTGGCTTCTTTCACTTCGAATAGTGTCTTCAAGTTTCATCCTTGTTGTAGCATGTGTTAGAATTTCTTTCCTTTTTAAGGCTGAATAATATGTCATTGTATGAATATACCATCTTTTGTTTGTCCATTTGTCCACTGATGGACACATGGCTTGCTTCCACCTTTTGGCTATTGTGAATAATGCTGCCATGAACATTGGCGTACAAGCATCTGTACCGTACTCCATAGCAGTTGCACCATTTGACCTTCCCATCAACAGTGCACAAAGCCTTCAATTTCTCCATGTCTTCATTCATACTTGTTATTTTCTGTTTGTTTTATCTTATTTTTTTTCTCTTTTTTTTAAAGATTTTATTTTTTTTCCCCTTTTTCTCCCCAAAGCCCCCCAGTACATAGTTGTGCATTCTTCGTTGTGGGTCCTTTTAGTTGTGGCATGTGGGACGCCACCTCAGCGTGGTCTGATGAGCAGTGCCATGTCCGCGCCCAGGATTCGAACCAACGAAACACTGGGCCGCTTGCAGCGGAGCACGCGAACTTAACCACTCGGCCACGGGGCCAGCCCCTCGTCTTATTTTTTGATAGTAGCCATTCTAATAGCTGTGAGGTTGCACAGTCATGCATCACTTAACAACAAGGATACATCGTGAGAAACGCATCATTAGGCTAGTTCTTCCTTGTTCGAACATCATAGAGTGTACTGAAGGGGAACAAAATTTGCCACCCCAAAATGTGTCTTTTTTTTTTTTTTTTTTTGAGGAAGATTAGCCCTGAGCTAACATCTGCTGCCGATCCGCCTCTTTTTGCTGAGGAAGACAGGCCCTGAGCTAACATCTGTGCCCATCTTCCTCTACTTTATATGTCGGACGCCTACCACAGCATGGCTGGACAAGCGGTGCCATGTCGGCACCCGGGATCTGAACCGGCAAACCCTAGGCCGCCGAAGCAGAATATCCAAACTTAGCTGCACCACCAGGCCGGCCCCAAAATGTGTCTTTTTAACATGAGGATTATTTTAGGCTGATTATTTATAAGAAACAAAAGACTCAGAAAGTTTTTCTTGTTACCTCCCTTTCAACTGCCTAAAAGAATTCAGGTTAAAAAAAACCTGTCTGAGGCTGGCCCAGTGGCGCAGCGGTTAAGTGCACATGTTCCGCTTCAGCGGCCCAGGTTTGCTGGTTCGGATCCCGGGTGCGGACATGGCACCGCTTGTCAAGCCATGCTGTGGCAGGCATCCCACATATAAAGTAGAGGAAGATGGGCACGGATGTGAGCTCAGAGCCAGTCTTCCTCAGCAAAAAGAGGAGGATTGGCAGCAGTTAGCTCGGGGCCAATCTTCCTAAAAAAAAACCTGTCTTAGGAAGTGAGCTATCACCATGGACTAGGCTAAGGAATCTGGAAAAGCCTGTTTGTTGAGCTTCCCTCTGTGTTCTTCTGTTTTTATGTGGCCAAAACACTTGTGTCTCAAATGTCCGCTCCTTTTCACCTACCTGTGAATTGCCTTCCTTCCCTTTGAAGTCCCTGACCCTCCGCACTCCCGACTTCTTTTGTCTTTAGCTGAGGGTGGTATTTAAGGGGAGGGCTTCTGCCATTTTGGGGAGTTACTCGGTTTTCCTGGGTTTCTCCCATGTGTGCATGTGATTAAATTTTTGTTTGTTTTTCTCCTGTTAATCTTATATCAATTTAACTCTTAGACCAGCCAGAAGAACCTAGAAGGGTGGAGGACAATTTCTTCCTCCCCTCTAGTACTCACACAAACCTGGATGGTATAGCCTAGTCCACACCTAAGCTATATACTAATCTTACGGGAGCACCGTCATATCTGTGATCTGTCCTTGACTGAAAGGTCGTTATGAGCTGCGTGACTGTACGTTGCTTTCTAAATGGGAGAAACATCAGTGTGTTTGCATGCAGACAGGAAAGATCCAGGAGGCAGGGAAGCTGATACTAAAGGAGAGAGAGAAGAGATACTGGAGCAACGTCCCTGAGTTGGGAGAGAAACTAAGATCCTGTGCAGAGAGGCAGATGCCCTTCGCCAGCAGCCGGGGTGTGTATGTATCCACAGCCACAGGGCAGAAGGCTGAGGATCTGGGCACGGATGCAGGCGGGAGGGCACATATGATGGGGGAGCCGAGGATGTTCTCTTGTGTTTATTTTATCTCCTCAGTGAAATAGGCAGCCAGAAGCCAGCTGAAGGTAAGGGTGGGGTGAGGTCAGAGGCTTGAGGAGAGAAGAAGCCGGCTAGGAGGGCAGGAGAGTGTGTGGATGGTGGGGGTCAGGAGGCTAGATAATGGCCCCCAGAAAGACAACAACATCTGAATCCCTGAGATCTGCGAATATGTCACCTGGCAGGATCTGGAGATGGGGAGATTACCCTGCATCACGTGATGGGCCCAGCGTAATCACACGTATCCTTATTGAGAGGCAGCGGGAGATTTGACTACAGAAGCTACTACACTGCTGGCTTTGAAGATGGAGGGAGGGACCACAAGCCAAGGAATGAGGGTGCCTCTAGAAGTTGAAGGCAAGGAAATGAGTTCTCTCCTAGGGCCTCCAGAAACAGACTTCTCTCTATAGCCTAGCAGCCTGGTGACGCCTTGATTTTTAGACTTCTGATCTCCAGAACTGCAAGAGATTTGTGTTGTTTTAAGGCCCTAAGTTTGTCTGGTTTGTTACAGCAGCAATTGGAAACTAGTACACCAGGAAGGCGGGGGGAGGGGGCATGCTGTGACTGCTCGGCGGCACCATGGACCCCCTTAGTGTTTAATGATCATGAAATTAAGTGATTCCTGCCCCTGGTTGACTGTTTTCAATCCTGCCCCATACAGGTGTGCAGGTGTAGGTGTGGCATGCACAGAGAGCTAGATTTAACCAGAATGAGAACAATAAAGCGGGAGAAAGACCAGGAAGTTGAGATTGCATGCAAGAGACAAAGTGATTGACCATAGTGTTTATGACTGATAGGACAGGAGAGGATGGGGGCCAGCCCCATGACCAGTGGTTAAGTTCTCGCGCTCCGCTTCGGCGGCCCAGAGTTTCGCCAGTTCGGATCCTGGGCACGGACATGGCACCACTCGTCAGGCCATGCTGGGGCGGCGTCTCATATGCCACAGCTAGGAGGACCCACAACTAAAAATACACAACTATGTACCAGGGGGCTTTGGGGAGAAAAAAAGGAAACATAAAATCTTTAAAAAAAAAAAAAAAAAAAAGACAGGAGAGCATGAGGGATGGTGGGATCAACAGACTGCAGGTCCCAGTGAGGAGAAAGACAGGATAGTGTTGGGTTTAGGGGTGGAGGATAGGGGGAGTGGATGCTTGAAATTAGATTATGGTCGCGGCTCTCCATAATGATGGGAGTGGCTGCTGTCGTAAGGATCCTTTTTTGAGCACACCTGAGTTTATGCTAATAAGTGACTCAGGGTGAGGCCTCTAGATAGTCTCAGGATGGGCTGGGCACCGGAAAGACCAAGTAGTTAGAGGCCTGGTACTTTCAGCCCCACCCACTAATCCGTGGGAAGAAGGAGGAGGGGCTACAGATTAAATTCCATAAAAACTCCTGAACAAGGCCATTTCACGAGCTTCCGGGTTGGTAAACACACCAGGAGGGTGGTGCATTCCCAGTTCCACAGAGACAGAAGCTCCTGCAGCCAGGACCCTCCCAGACCTCGCCCTGCAGACCTCTTCATCCGGCTATTCATCCGTATCCTTTATCACATCCTTTATCATAAACTAGTCAACGTCATAGATGCTTCCCTGAGCTTTGTGAGCCGTCCTAACAAATGACTGAACCCAAGGGAGACGTCATGGAAACTTCTGATTTACAGCCTGTCGGACAGAAGCACAGGTGACAACTTGGACTTGCATCTGAGGTGGGGGCTTCTTGTGGGACTGAGCCCTTAACCTGTGGGGTCTGACGCCTCCTCCAGGGCGTGTCAGAATTGAGTTCAATTTGTAGGTCGCCTCGTCGGTGTCTATTGAGAATCGGGAATTGCTTGGCAGTGTGGAAGGCACTCCAGACACCGACTCTTTAGTGAATGGTCTGTGACTGCTTTCACGCTTCACCCCCAGAGTTGAGTAGCTGTGACAGAAACCAAAAGACCCCCCCCACAAGACTAAAATATTTACCACATGGCTCTTTACAGGAAAAGTTGGATGAGCCCTGATCTAGGCTATGAGTGGCTGAGACAGGGTAGAGGACCGGACCACGGGAGGAGAGGAGGCCCAGGAAATGACCAAGAATGAAGATGGTGGTACTGAGGCAGTGACAGTGAGCCGGGAAGGAGGTCAGCTGAATGAATCCACAGGTCAGGGCCTCTCTCCCCTCCAGGCCATTACATGAGGAACTCCCTTTGCCTGCAACCTCCTCCCATTCCTTTATTCTGGAAAGCTCCTGCTCATGCCTCAGGGACAGGTCAGAGGTCATCTCCAGACCCCTCTCCTGCCCCCCTGGCTGTGCCTGGGGCCCTTCTCTGTCCTCCCAGAGTCCCCAGGCTCATCTGAGCACCCAATGGTGGGCCTCATAGGTGTCCCCAAGATTGGGGCCTCCCGGAGGCCAGAGCCTTACTCCCCGGAGTGAGGAAGGGGGCTGCAGGTGAACAAGCAGATCTGCAGGCCCCGACCCCAACCCCAAGAGCAGGCTGAGGAGACCGAGGTGGCAGGGCCTGTGACGAGGGCATATTTGAGGCCAGCTGGGTGGTTGTGGGCAGGAAGCTGCCATCTTACTGTTCAGATCTGAGGCAGCAGCCGGGCTCTCAGCAAGGGCAACTGTAGTGGGGGTGCTTCTGGGATCCAGCCACAGCACGGTCTTGTCAGACTCCACTGGCCATGACTCCATGTCCCCCTACACATTGGTGGCAGGCAAGCGGGACCATGGACAAACCCCAGGTCAGACCCAAAGCCAGAGCCAGGGGTCAATGTGTACAACAAACAAAAGGTTTATTGATAAGCAAGGATGCTGTCCAGCAACAGTGCAAACTCATTGTCTGGGCATCAACACCAGCTGGGCAACTGAGGCCACACCCAGAAAGGGTCTCCTTCCGATCTCCAGCTTCCTGGCTCTGCAGGGAGATCACAGTGCGGCCGAGGTCCTCCCAGGACTGTCCACCAGGGGGCAGACATGCCCCATCGCCCTGCAGGGTCCAACGTGGGCCGAGACCCCAGCCAGTCCAGGCAGCTGATATCCCCATTCCAGGGTGGAAGCCGTTCCCGCCTCCGTTGTAATGGCTGGACTCTCCCACCCTCCAAAGGTTCAGCTGCCAAGTTCAAGTCCAGTGGAATTTTTCAACAAGGGATCCAAGTGCTTGGGACCCAACTGCCTTCTCAAGGAGTCCCCACCCACCTTCCTTCAGAATCTGGTCAAGGCCACATTCGTCCACCCTCTGCAGGGTCTCGGGGGTGTGTGTGGGGGGAGAGGGGTGCCTCTTTAATGAAGGAATCCTTTGGCAGAATTGTCAGCTTCAGCTGCTTCAGGCAGGCTATTCAACCCGACAACATGGCTACACAGGCCCACAACGTGACACAGACACACACACACAAGACAGGCTCTCGGCATCTCACATCCACTTGGGATCGCAGCGGACACAGTACCAACACGGCCCCATGGCTCCCCTGGGGCTGGGCCTCCAGGAACAGCAGGAGGGGGTCAGGGAAAACAGGAGCAGCCTCTCGGGAGGCAAAGGAGAAAGTTCCAGGCTGAGGTAGGAGGAGAGAGATGGCTGCGGGCCTCAGTCATCTCCAGTTCCTGAAACTCCCTGATGGGAGAACCCACCCCACACAGCAGGGAGCAGGGGCCGGAGCTGGGGGGACCTGAAACGAAGGTCAAAGGCAGAGGACACAAACTCTTGAGTTTGGCTTTGTTATGTGGTTGGCTTGGTTGCCTGCATGGGGCTTCCTTTTTCTTTTTAATTGCCACGTGTTAAAAGTGGAAGACTATCGGTTAGTGGTTTGCCATCTTGCCCCGGCCGGGGCCCTCATTCCACTTGCCTGCCTGGGCCTCTGCGCAGCTGGTTTTCACACCACTGTACAAGAGGTGGAGCTGGCAGGAACGGATTGGAGGTGGTGCTTTTCAAGGGTCCTGAGGAACCTGGGGGACCGCCCTACAGGGACTGCCAGCCCCACCCGGCACAGAACCATCTGGTGGATGACACCCCCACCCCCGCTGGGACCGGCCAGCAGTCCCAGCATCCAGGCTAAGGCGCTGCCCTTCCTCCACTGCCCTGCTCCACAGATGGCGCACACGGCACCCCTCCACCCCAGCAGGCCCAGGGAGGAAGATCTCAACAAGGGCTGCAGAAGCCAAGCTCGCAGGACAGGCTGGGGGCAGCTCTCAGAGAGGCAGGGCTCGCCCCGGGCTGCCCAGCAGGTCCATGCCCAGCTAGCCTTCTGGGAGGGACGCGCACCATGACGGGAGAGCTTTCCACGACTCTCCCTGCCTCGTCCCTCTGCCTGCAGGGGAGAGGAAGGCTGAGGCTGGAGGCCGCTAAAGGAATTTGGCCCAGAAAGAGCCAGAGTCCTGGGGCTGGGGGCCTAGAAGGCCCAGAGATCAGCGCCTCTCGGCTGTGACGCGTCCCTTGCTGGCCTGGTTAACGACTTCACCCCTCCCTCGGGCACGCCAAGGGGCAGCGGCTTCTCCTCTGGGTTCTGCAGCAGAGTCTCTGAAGCCCCCGACTGGGACTGACAAGGGCATTCCTCCTTGGAGAAGGGGACCTGCTCGTCCTTCAGGGAGTCTGAGGGGCTGGCATCCGTGTCCCCCGCAGTGGAGCTGGTCTGGGAGGGGCACTGGGAGCCGTGGCCGGAATTGCTGCAAACATTCACGATGCATGTGACGTTGACCTGGGTCCCGTGGCTGCCAGAGGAAGGCTCTGCTGAACACAGGAGGGAGAGGGCGGTCAGTCGGGGGGTCTTGGAGTGGGGGACGTCTCCACAGCCTGTCTTCTGCCACAGAGGCAGATTAAGAGCACTGGGCCCTGGGGCCGGCCCTGGTGATCTAGTGGTTAAGTTCAGCACACTCCACTTTGGTGGCCCAGGTTCAGTTCTTGGGCACAGACCTACACCACTTGTCTGTCAGTGACCACGCTGTGGTGGTGGTCCACATATCAAAAAAAAAAAAAAAAAAGATGAGGGCTGGCAGTGGATATTAGCTCAAGGTGAATCTTCCTCAAGGAAAAAAAAAAAAAAAAGCACCAGGCCAGGAGCCTAGAGGCCACATTCTAGCCCAGCTCTGCTGTGTAACCTTGGGCAAGCTAGTCACTTAACCTTCATGCGCCTCAGTTTCCTCATCTGTCAAATAAGAATACCTAGCCCAACTCACTCCATAGAAGGGAGGAGACGATTTGCTCCAGGAACAAAACAAACCGCCACAAAGAATCAGAGAAGTGAGCAGGGACGGGAAGAACACACGACAGGATACCGGTCAAGCAACCAAGATGAATTACTCTCCCATAACCGCAGGAGGCACCAGCAGTCCCGGCCACAACTACGAAACGGAGAGAAGCCTCTGTCTCCGGGTTATGTGCATGTCGCCCCTTCTCTGTATGTGGGAGAATCAGCATCAAAGGGCTTGGAAATTGTTCCCTTACGGAGACTGAACATCGAGCCAGACGCAGTGTCAAATCCACCCCCAGGACCCAATCTCTTTCCTCCACGCAGAGCTGCCTCCCCGATTTCATAAATCTGGGGATTCCAGGATGGCGGCAGTTTGTCCTCATCACTGAGGCTGGGACGCCTGGAGCTTTGCAGCCCGACAATCCTGGGTTCGAATCCCAGCTCTGCCTCCATAAACCTGGCCAAGCACAGCCTAGTGGAGCTTCTGTCTGCCCAGCTGTAAACTGGGTGTAATGACCGCGTCCATCTCCTTACAGGCGAGGAGAACTCTGGCTTGCTCCCTGCCATATCTCCGGATCCTGCACGGCTCCTGGAGATGGGTGACGCTCTCAGCGACACTGGGGCTGAACACTGGCCCCAAATATCCAACCACCTGTTCTGTACCTCAGCCTGAACTCTTGATTCCACCCTGTCCAACCTGCTCCTCCTCGTCTCAGGTCACAGTGCCACCATCCACCCCGCTGCTCAGGCCTCAAAGGCTGGGACTCACTTTTCTCTCATATCCCATACCCGATCACTCAGCAATTGCTGCCTGGTCCACCTTCAAAAGATACTTCAGGCTCACCACCTCCTGCTACCGCCCATGCAACCTCCCTCCACTCGCCCCTGGACCAGTGTGAACGATCTCCACCTGTCTCCTGGCTTCTACCACGCTCCCCCGCATGCACCCTGTCCCCCACTAGCAGCCAGAGCCAGCCCTTTAGAACCTGGCTGCTCAAAACACCACAGTCCTCGCCAGGCCTACGGGGTCCTGCACAACCCGGTGCTTGTCATCCCCTGCCCCATCTCCTCCTGCTCTGCAATCGTGGCTGGATTCCTTCCAGCCACACTCACCTCCTTGCAGCTCCTTGAGCCCTCCAAGCCTCAGGGCCTTTGCATGTGCTGCTCCCTCAGCTGGAAATCTCTTCCCTATTTCAACGGCTCACTCCTTCCTTTCTCTCAGGCCTCAGCTCAAAGGCCACTTCCTCCGAGAAGCCTCCCTGATTGTCCTCTCTAAATCTATCACTCCCTATGTCCCTCCATCCCTCCTCTGCTGTGATCTCCAGCGTGGGACCCAAGCTCCTTCCAGGGTAATCAATTTCCTGGGTGCTCACTTGTGTCCCCTCCCCCAGGCCCTGAGTCCAGGGGAGTGTGGCCCTTCTGACTGTTCCCCACTCTGTCTCTAGTGCCTATGACAGGGACACGTGGGAAGGAATAAAGCCAGCCCACAGGTGTCTTTTATCCTTGGTGGTAGTGTATTTAAGTGAACTGGCTGCCAACACAAAATTCAGGAGTTTACATTTTAAAAATCTGCATTTATAGCCTTCCTTGGGAGCCAGATGAGGGAGAGGCCATCATGGAGGGCCCAATTCCTGAAGGGCACTGGCAGGAAAGGCTTCCGGGCAGCGGGTCCCCTTCCCGCCCAGGGCCTGCGAGCACCTGAGTTTCCTAACCAGTTGGTGAGGGACACACGATGGCCAAGCCAGGAGACTCATGGAAGGGGCTGGACACACAGGGGCCCCTCAGAAAGCCAGACCTGCTGCTGCTGCCGGGTCTGTGGGACCTGCTGGGGCCAACGAACATGGTGGCCGGGGTGTGGGGAGTGCTGGCTGCTTGTCGTCCAGACTCCAGAGGGGCCTGGGAGGAGGACGGGCCGGGTAGCTGCTCTGCTTAGAAGAGCCCCACACAGGCAGGGGAGACGGAGGGCTGAAATCACGGGACGGAAGGAAATTTCCACCCTGAGCCTCCACAGCCCCCAAATGTCACCCAAAGTCACCACAGCTGTTGCACATCATGAATCAGACACTGCAGGGGCGGATGGGGGACCACAGACCTGGGTTTACCCGTTCCCACAGCAGAGAAAGGTGTCAGGTGGGAGGGAGAGAAGGGGAGAGCAGAGGCCAGACAGACAGGTGGGGAGCAAAGAGAAGGGGCAGAGGGGAGAAAGGGTGGGCAGACACGGTCAGGGGTACACACGGGGCCAGGGACGAAGCCACACCTGGTCGGCTGTGAAAGAAGTGTCACTACGAAATCGGAAAGATGAATGAATGAGAGTTGGACAAAGACCAAGAATTGCTATCTGGAGCTCATTCATTCACTCGACAAACGTGTAGGGCCACCTGCTGTGTTCCAGGTACTGGCCCAGTCCCTTCCTGGGGAGTTCTCAGGATGGGGGTCACTGACAAGACCTCACACTGATGAGGACGGGCTATGTAGGGAAGACAGAAGTGGGCCACCTCAGTCAGAGAAGGAACATCCTTGAGTCAGGGGACAGGCAGGAAGGGCTGTTGCAGCCCTGCCACGGAGGTGGCATGCTCATCTCTGGACAAGGAAACTGAGGCCCGGCAGGGTTAAGGAGCCTGTGCAGATTCTCATGGCAGCAGAGCGGCCGGGACAGCATCTGGGACTGACCCGAGTCCATGGTCACTCCTGACCTCCCGCCAGCCGGTGCCGCCAGGTGAGCGGGCCTCGGGCCAGCAGAACCGACCTCTCACCACAAAACACAGCCAAGTGTGGATATCGGCGCTGCCCGCCAGGGCTGGCGCCTGGCACAGACCAGCTCCAGGGCAAAACGCAGACTGTGTCAAGGCAGCAGGGGCTTCCCCAGAGCCCACACGGTCCCCACAAGCCTGGAGCCTCAGTCCCAAAGGGACTGGGCCACAAGCCACAGGGAGTGGAGCCCTGGGGACACGATGTAGTCATTCAGCTTTCTGCCCCAGGGCTCTGGAGCCTGAGAGCCCAGGGGTGATTCCTGGCTCTTCCATTTACTAGCTGTGAGCCCTTGAACAAGCTGTGTAACCTCTCTGGGCCTCAGTTTCCCCATCTGTAAAATATAATAGGTATTAATATAATATTATAATAATATATAATAATTATGTAAGCATATGGTAATTGTGTAATAATATAACATTATTGTGTGTTATATCCATATGTATTATAACACACAGGAAAACCCCCTGCCTGGGTGTGGAGGACTCAAAGGACAAGCTGGATTGTCTGGAAGGAGGGTGTTCCTGGTGAAAAAAGCCGCGGGGGCAAAGCAGGAGGGTCTGGGTGAGTCTGGAGGACTGAAGGAATCCTGTGGCTCAGGGCGGCCCTGACGGGGAGCAGGAGATGGGGCTGGATGGTGAGCCGAGGCTGGTCACCCAGGGCTTCGACTGCCCTGCTGGAAGCTCGGCCTCGCCCGGCAGGGGCGGCCAGGAGGAGACGACTAAGACAGAAACCAGGAGGGAACACGAAGAGGGGGACGTGCCGGGTGCGCTCCCGCCTCTCACCTGAGCTGCTGGAGCTGGCCCGCACCTCCCCAGGCCCGCTGGCCTTCCCCGTGCCTGGGGCATGCAGCTGGTCCCCCGTGGGCGCCCTCTTGTCCGCGGTGCTGGCCGAGCTCTCCAGGGAGCTGCTGCTGGAGCTTTGCGCTGTGGTCAGCAGGTGCTGCTGCTCCTGGCCCGGAGCCCCTCCGGCCTTATCAGCAGGCAGGTGAGGCTGGATGGAGAGGAGAGAGGAGGGAGAGTGGTCAGCCCATCAGCCAACAACTCTTCCCCTCTTCTCGCCACCATCCGCACCCCATGTCACAGCACTTCACAGTTTACACGGCACTTCTGCCCACACCTGCACGTTCTTTCCACACACAGCACTTTCGGGACCTGTGATTCTCCGTGGTTTCTGTGACTGGAATCTGTCTGCCCCCTATGAGGTCAGGGGCCATGCGGCCCTGCTCGCCAAATAGTCTCAGAGGTGGGGCAGGACATTCATCCTCATTTTGCCTAAGGAAACAGAGGCTCAGAGCAGGAGAGTGACTTTCCGAAGGTCACTCCATCAGCACAGGGTGATGTGGCCCAGCCTAGCAGCCAAGAGCATGGACTCCAGAACTAAACAATGTGGGTACAATTCATGACTCCATCACTCACTAGCCGTGTGACCTCGGACAACTTAACCTCTCTGTGCCTCCATTTACTCATCTATAAAGGGAAAATAGAAACTTACATCCTAGGACTGTCATGAAGATTAAATGGCTGGGTATCTGTAAGTGCTCAGAACAATTCTGTTACATGGTGAGCTCCACACAAGGGTTTGCTAGATCAGGGGTAGGCAAACCCCTGCCACAAGCCAAATCCAGCCGCTACTGTTTTTGTACAGGCTGCGAGCTAAGAATGGTTTTTACATTTTTAAATGGTTGAAAAAAAGCTTTTAAAGAATAATTAATTTCCTGACGTGAAATTACGTGAAGTTCCAGTTTCAGTGTCGGTAAACACAGCCACTCTCATTGTTTACGCAGCATCTGCAGCTGCTTTCCTGCAGCAACGGCAGGGTGAGTAGCTGTGACGGTGACGATACGACCCCAAAAGCCTAAGATATTTACTATCTGGCCCTCGTGATCCATCAATCCATCCCGTGCAGATAGCCCTTTATCTAGGACCCTCAGCCAGGCTGTCTCCACAGCCCTTCCCAGACTCCATTCCCCCCGCTGCTCGGTGACTCCTCATGTCTTCTTTTCACAGAAGAACATCATCATCATCATCAACAACAAAAACAAAACATTAGTCAACGTTTGAGCGCCAGCCGGTGCCAAGCAGTGTGCTGAAGTCCCGCCAAGACACTATATTGATCCTTCCAACAGCCCAGTGTTATCCTTGCTTTGCAGACGTGAAAACCAAGGCCCAGAGAGGTTGAGTGACTTGCCCAAGGTCACACAGTTAGAACATGGTACAGCTAGGCTAAAACCCACAAGGCCTTTCCTGGGTCTCTGGGGATTCAGCTCTAGGGGCTCAAGACAAGGTGCCCGTTTCCAGCGCCCAGTGCTGGGAGGCACCTGGAAATTCCACCCCGAGACTGGTGCCTGTGCACACTAACTGAGCAGGCACACAAGCCCTTGCCTTGGGATTCCGGTGATTGCTGGATCCCAGGAAGGAGCTCGTCTGCTGCCCTGAGCAGGACGAGAGGGTCCGGGGCAGAATGAGAACTGAGGTGAGTTACAAGCTGGTGGGACACGGCCTAACATGGAAGGGGGAGGTGAGGGTCACAGGGCGGGTGTTTGCTATGGGGTTGCGGGCATGTTAGCCCCCCTCCCCGGGAAGGGCTGAGACCCCTGGGCTCGCTTCAGAGGGAGCTACAATTCCAGGAGCTCCGAGCAGCAGCTGCTCACTCTGGGCCATCAATGCAGACCCCGGCCCCCCGCCCACCATGGCTGTGGCCTCCAGACCCCTGAGCCCGCCCCAGCCCTCGGTTCTCCAAGGCCAGCCCACATCCTCGGACTCCAGCATGGAAGGATCCCTTGCCAGCTGTCCCATGAGGCCACGGAGGCCCAGAGAGGGTGAGTCTGGGGCTCAGCATCACAGAGCTGGTCCGTGGTAGGGGCAGGATGAGCCCAGACCAGGGTACCAGAGCTGCCCCCCTCCCACCGCAGCCTGCCTCCCTGGTTTACACCCCCAGCTTTGGAGGGATGGAGGGCATTCCAAATTCCGGCTGAGCCTTTGCCCAGGTGGTCTCACCTTGGCCACTGGCCCCTGCCCCCAGCGCTCTCTGAGCTTGGAGAGGTGGGGGACGGGGGGAGGCGCATCCAAATGTCATTCCTCACAACCCCGGAGAAGGGGCTTTTCAGCCCGTGTCCCACTGCTCTGCGGGTAGGAAGGGCCAGGCAGAACAGAAACTCCCAAAGGTCACAGCCCACCTCCCTCCTCCAAAGCCACAAGTTACAAAGTTCAGGCAGGCTCTGAGTGGGGCAGACGCATCCTGAGTCCTTTCCTCAGACTGGGACCCAGTAAGGGGGAGTACCGAGAGGGCTTGTTCGAAAAACAGGATCCCAGCCAGTCCCGGCCTGGCCCAGCCCTGCTGTGAGCAGAAGCAGAGACCCTGGCAGAGCCAGCAGCTGGGTCCTCCAGAGGCCCACAGGGGCCGTGTCTGTGTGTGCAAGTGTGTGTGCATGAGGCCCACACACCTATATGCGCAGGTGTGCAGGTATGTGAAGTGTGCACACATGTGTGTCTATGTGTGTGGGCGCATGTGTGCACATCTGTGAGCGGTGCAGTTAACGTGAGTGCTGGGGGTGGTGAAGAGAGGCACTCCAAGGTTTGTGTCCCAGGCCACTCTCATTAGCTGTGTGACCTTGGGAAAGTTTCTCAACTTCTCTGAGCCCAAGTTCCTAGGCCGTAAAAGTGGGGCAACAATCATATTGCCTGTGTCGTAGCACGGCTGTGAGACAAGACAATGCTCCGTACTGTGACTGGCATACGTTCCGCTCTTCATAAATGCTCACTCTCGTTATTAAACACGAGCCTGTGCACGTGTCTGTGGGGGCGGCTGTGGGTGAGCTCACACATATGGCTAGGCTGGCCTTTTCTAAACAGAGAAGCTACTGGTCCTGCCATGCCTGGAGGGACAGGGTGGGGCTGCTGACTCACCACGCTCTGGACTCCAGCGTTACCAGGCAGGGACCACTGGCAGCCAGGGGGAGGAAGAGAGGGTCACAGACCAAACAAGGGGCCAGAGGAGGGTGCCAGGGACTGAAGGGCCCTTGGGAAGCGACCAAGCTGAGGGCAGGCCCTGCCAGGGCTGGGGGTGCTTGGAGCAGCCATGAGTGTCTGCCCCAAGTGGGTGAAGGTGCAGCCTGTGGCCTCAGACTGTCTCAGACCTGGGCTAGGCCCCTTCCCTAGGGGTCTAAGCTTACACGGGTACCTGGACCTCCCTGAGCCTCAGTTTCCTCACCAGTAAAATGGGGATGAGGATGCTGCATCCTCGCAGGAGTGTGGGGATGCAGTGCCATGGTGCAGGCAGGGAGCCTGGCACGGGGCTCAGCCAGGGCTGTGCTAGAACCAGCTCGGACCTGTACTGTTTCTTCCCAACCCCACGCTCAGTAAGGCCTGGGAGCTTGAACTCGGCCATGGTGGGAGCGTTTATAACACAGAAATGAGCAAACATCATAAATCTGGGTTTGGGTTTTTTTTTCCCCACTGGGGGGGCCAGTTACCAGCACACCACTGGGCTCTACACACAACAGTGCTAAACAAATAGCAGCTGAGTTGCTCACACTTAGTAACCACAAGACCGAGTGGAGGGAAAGAGGAAGCGGAGGCTGCAGGGCCCCACCCAGGACATCTTTGCTGCACTGCGTGTTGGGAAACCCACTAGGCCGGGAAGGAGCACGGTGGCTGGGCCGCTGAGGTGGAGCTTGCAGGGCACACTGGCTCCCCAGCCACCAGGCAGCAGCTGTCAGCATCCCTGAACCGAAACCAGAGAAAGGAAGGGGTGGCACTCGCACCCTGGGAGAATGAGAAACGGTTTGAACTCCCAAACCAGTGCTGATGTCTGCTAAAATACTGGAGGGCAGGCCAAGGAGAACTGCGCCAGGAGTCCAGAGACAAGCCCTCGGCCAAGCGTGTGTGATTGTGGGCAAGTCACTTCCCCTCTCTGCACCTCTGTCCTGGTCAGCAAAACCAGGAGATGAAACCGGTCTCTGGTCCCTGCCACATCCAGAGCCGTGGGGAGACCTCAGGCACTGGGCCGCCCCGGGCTGAGCTCTTCTCTAGCACAGTGACTTCCGAGCAGAGGTGACTCTGTCCTCTCGGGGACATCTGGCAATGTCTGGAGACATTTTCGGTTGTCACTCCTGGAAGGCAATGCTGCTACCTCTAGTGGGGAGAGGCCAGGGATATTGGGGAACAGCCTATAATGCACAGGACAGCCCCCCAGAACAAAGCATTTTCAGGCCCCAAATGTCAGCGTTGCTGAGGCTGAGAAACGCCGCCCCAGCAGGACGGGGGCATGGAGGGAGCTCCTCAGACTCTGCTCCCTCGCCTGTAACGGTGCCCTGTCCACCAGGTACGGGGTTGCGGCAGACACTGTGCCGGCTCAGCCCATACCTGTCTCCAAGCCCTCTTCCCTGCTGTCCTCCACCACAGAGGCTGGATGTCAAAGCGCCCCCTTCCTGCCTCCCTTGCAGCTAGGGATGGTCACGTGACACCATTCTGGCCAGGGAGACGAAAAGAGGAGTCTACCCAGGGCTTCTGGGAGAGCGGCTGGTTTCCTGGTGAAAGGCACTGTGGCTGGCTGGCCATTTCCCCCTCTTTTTCCTGCCTCCGACCCAGAGGTCACATCTGAAGTGGTGATCACCATCTTATGACCTAAGGCCAGCAGCAAGAGAACAAAAGCCAACACACTAAAAAGATGGCAGAGCCTGGGGTCCCGCTGGCCTCACAGGGGATGCACGTGAACTGCTCCAGCAGCAGTCAACCCCTCGACGTCTTGGTAGGTGTGAAAAATAAAGCCCTGTTGCTTTAAGCCACCCTTCAGCTTGCAGCTAGTTGCAGCCGAATGCCTTCCTGATGGAAGACCAGACTGTTTCTAGCAAAAGTCCTTCACGGACCCTACTTCATAAAAAGATCAGAGGTGAGCTGCTTTGGTTGAAATGGGAGGAGGACCCAGGGCCCTGCCCCGTTGCCTCCACCTCAACCCCAGAGATGACCCCCTGGGGCCTTCTGTGGGACGCTGGGGTACCCTAGCACTCAGTTTGCAAACCACTGCCCCATGAGAATGTGCTAAGCACCAGGGAGAGGCTGAGAAGTGCTACCAGCTGAGGGAGAGGCACAGCCCTGCAAGCGGGCTCAGCGACGCAATCCCCATTTAATGCTGAGGAGACAGAGCTGCGAGCAACGTCACCTCTGCCCAAGGCCACACCCTGGGTCTGTGGCCACATGCTTGCCACGGGCACCACCAACACCCTGCTCCCTGATGTGGCCTTTCATACTCACAGTCTCCTTTGCCAGGACACAGAGAGCTGCCTACCCCTGAGGACAGACCCGGGCTGCCCCTTCCTCAGCCTCCCAGGGCTCAGCACCCCACCTGACACTGGACAGACCAACCGATGGAAGTCGCTGCTTCCTGCGGAACAACCAAGCCCACCAGGCAGGAGAGTGGGGGGCAGGGGGGCAGAGGGGACTCACCACCTTGGCTTCTCCTTGCAGGCAGAAGGACTTCTCTGCAAAGAGGAGAGAGGGGACAAGTCAGGGAGAGTGACTTCCTCAGGGCCCGTGTGCTCTAATGGGGAGGGCAACATGGGGCCCAAGCAGCAGCAGCCAGAGTAGGCCCAGCCCTGCGGGGGGCAATGACAAGGCACACAAAAACCTCTATATCCAATGCTCCAGCTGGCCCGAGGCTGTGCCAGTCCCCTCCACCACCCCCAACCATTGTGCCACCTCCCCACCTTTGCTCATGCCAGGCCCTTGGCTAGCACACCCTTTCTTTCCTGCACACACCCCACCCATCGAAATCTCACCCAGCTCAGAGGCCAACTGCTCTAGAAAGCCTGAAGCCCCGGGAGTCCTAGGGAAGAATCCTGGTCTCCCCCTTGCACGGCCCTGACGGCATCTGGCCTCTCAGTAGATGAGCAAGTGGAAGCGCCTTCCACCCCAGGCCCTAAGCTCCTACAGAACAGGGACTGCAGCACGCAGCTCCGGCCGACCCACAGGCTGTGCCCAGGGCTGGACTCACGGGAGATGCCCCAGAAAAGCTTCCCGAGCCAATGGAGGAAAGAGGATGGAGGAAGGAAGGAAGGAAGGAACGGAATCTTACTTTTCTTCTGGGTCATGATGACACAGTTCACCAGCCCGATTACTAGCAGACCCAAGGCTGTCACTCCCACGATCAGCCCTAGAAGGAAAAGAGAAGCTCAAAACAGCTGCAAAGAGCAAACTCGGATGTCCCAGGTGGCAAGCAGGTCAGTTAATGACCAAAGGTGGCTGGCGTTGTCACAGGCGAGGGGCAAGCCAGGGTCAGAGGCTCTCAAATTCAATTAAAGAACAACCCAAAAACCGTGTGCCAAACAAAACACGTCTGTGGGCTGCATACAACCTCAGGGCCACCGGTTTGAGAACTTGGCCTGATGCAGTCCTAACCCCAGAAGGGAAGCCCCCAAGATGACCTGGCCCAGCCCAGCGTCTTCACAGCCTGATGGGTTCATCAGAAACCGCAACCAGGAGACCAGCTCCCCGACCCCTTCTCTCCCCACCAGGGGCTCTCACTGACAGCACTGGGTCTCGGGAGAAGACAAGTCCCCCCAGCACCTGCATCACAGCAGAGTACAGCGTCCAGCCCACAGCAGGCTCTGAGTAAGCCTCTGAGACAGGAGGGAGGAGGGAGGGGCCCTCTTGTGACTTACCAATTGGAAGGGAGAAGTTGCCAGTGATGAGCCCTTCAGCTGGGGGGCTTGGAACCATCGGGGGCAGGGGGGAGGTACCAGGAGCTGTGCTGGGCCCGCGGGTCAGCTCCGCGTGATGGGATCTCGTGGACCCTGGCTGGGGCGCAGAGGCTGGCTCCGAGGCCACTCTCGGGGTGGGAAGCACAGACTTGCAGACGGCATCCATGCTGGCATTGCCAGGGACGGCCACCGAGCTACAGCTGCAGACGAGGAGACTCGGTTAGGGGCAGCAGAGGGCTCAAGGGCTCAGGGTGGCTGGGTTCACCGGCAGGAGCCAGGCCAGTGGGCAAGGGCCCCAGCCGGCGGGATGGGGGAGTGAGTATGTGTACCATACCCTTTCTCAGGACCACCCCTTCCTGTTCCCACTCCCACTCTCCCCAAGCTCCCCACCCAGTCTTGACTTCCAGGGCAAGGCTACTGTTCACCGTGCTGTCTGTCCTGGGGGCCACCGGCAGATAAACCGGCCCTGGCGTTGAACCGGGCTCGGCAATGCCTCCACCCAAGGGAGCAAACGGGAGCCTCCAGGCCCCGTGGCCCAGCCGCTCTGTGCTCCAGACCCCAGAGTCACTCAGGGACAGCCCCTCCCTGCTCCCCTAGAACCACGGGACCCAGCCACTCACTTCCGGTGGGGCCTGCAAGTATCTGTGGACGACGTCCTGTCGGAGAATGTCCCTGGGGCACAGGCAGCGCACACCACGTTTGATGTCGCAGTTCCTTCAAGGAAAAATTGGAAGCTGTCACCAGCTCAAACACTCTGTGGACCAGGTAGGCCTTGACACTGGAGCCCCGGGGGACATCTGAGGGGCCCACAGACCTCTGTCTGCACCTCTACCCCTAAATACACACACACACACACACACGTGCGTGCACACACGCACACACACACACACACAGAGCTGGGCGGTGTTTGTCTTTAACCAATTCGAGTGACTTCCTGGTCTCCAGGGTCACATGGGTTCATCTTCCTGTGGCATGACCTGATGTTCCAGTAGCTTAGGGCTTAATCTGATCCATCTCTGGACCCCCAGGGCCTAGCACACAGCAGGTGCCTAACTAGGAGCCTGAAGGAAAGAACGAATGAGGGAAGTGGGCACAGATGGATGGCTACCACGTTTCCAGGCTGGGCTGATGGGTTGATACTGCAAAGGAAAGGCCCAAGGGGGTCCCCAAGGACCTCTGGCCCTCGCCCCACACATACCTGGCTTGGCCACGCCGAAGCCGGGCGGGCACTTGCGCAGCAGCCCGCAGACCTGGCACCCCTCCTGCCTTGGAAGTATGCAGTACCTGCCCGGCTCGCAGGTGCAGATGCGGTTCTGCTTCAAAGTACAGGCTTGAGTTTCCACTTGGCCTAGAGGAGTGAGAGGGCGGCCCAGGGTCATTCGTGCCTTCACCGGCCCTGCCCATGGCCACCCCTACTCTGCCCTCCCAGCCACCCACCGCCCACAGAGAGCTCTGATCTCCCTCAGGCTGGCGGATCCCCTCTGCAGGGGGCAAAAAGAACACTGGCCAGGGAGTCCCAAGGCCTGTGGTCCTGCTCCAGCTCCATCCCAGCGTGAGCGAGCAGGCCTGCTCTCTGAGGCACGACTTCCTGGACTCTAAAGTGCGCAGTCTTCGTGCTGCGGCCCTGGGCCTGCCTGTCCCATGGGCCATGTGCAAGGATTCAGTGAGACAGAGGATGGAAACGCCATGGATAAACAGTAAAGGGCTGTACCCATGAACCTCATGCTCTGGGCATAACAACTGGTCTGGAGTGATCCCAGCCAGCTTTCAGCCAAATGGCCTGAAGCGCCTGGTGGCCAGGGGCGGATGCTGGGGACCACCCCCTCTCTGGGCCTACTCACCGGTGCTGCAGCGGGAGCCACAGCTCAGGCACTCGGGGAGCCAGTTCCAGAGCTGGGTGTATGTGCTGTCCTCGCAGGGGACACACACCGTATCTGAGGTCTCGTTGCAGAAACTTTTTGCGCGGCAGCCTGAGAAAACAAAGGCCAGAAGTCTCAGTGAGGTGGGGCTTCTGCCAGGACCCTGGGCTCATCCACTGTTCCCCAGAGCCCCAGAGTTCTGAAGCCTAGGTGGGAAGGCCCTTTGATGGAGGTGCAAGTCCTCCATCGACTCATCTCATATCTAACATGAGCCAGCTGCCATTCCATTTCTGAACCCCCACTGCTCATAAAACATCTTCCCCTCTGCTCTTTCCAGATGCCTGGAATTCCACTATTGGACTTTGCCTATTACTAGTCAACAACACTTTAGTGAAAACTAGTTTGTCAGTTCTTTTCTTCTTTAGAGTTGGGTAAAATTCTCCACCTGGGGGTATGAACTCAAGGAGAAAAAGGTAGTAGGAATGTAGTCCCTGGGGGACTCCTGAAGGCCTGGAGAGAAGGCACGCCAGGGGATGGGAGAATGCCCACGGCATATCTTTAGGAAGTTTCCCTTCTGAGCCCTGCCCCCATTCCTAAACTGCCAAAGTCACTGCTCTGTTAATCTAGTAACTTCTTAGAGACTCTGCCAGTTACCAGAAGAAAGAAGAGTCCCTTCCGCTGGGGTCCCTTACAATGGCTGTGGGAGGTGAGAGGTACACATGGGCCTGTGCACATCTCAGACTAATGCTCAGCGCCCTCCAGTGGATCTGGATCCTGCAGAATAAAAGTCAAGCTCCTCACCATGGTCCCTGCTCGCTTACTTACTTACTCACCCTGGGCCACACACTAGCCTCACTGTTTCCCAAGTTCACCAAATAGGCCCCCACCTCAGGGCCTTTGCATCTGCTGTTGTTCCCGCCTGGCGTGCTGTTCCCTATATATGTGCATGACTCACTGCCTCACCTCTTGCATGTCTCTGCCCAAGTGTCAGCAACTCAGATAGGCCTTCCTGACCACCCTGCATAAAGCAGCGTGTCCTACTCCATCTGTCTCCACCTGCCTTACTCTGCCTCATTTTCTTCACTGCACTCACTCTCTGACCTCTCGGCTCATCTATTTCCTCTGCTGGTTTATCTGTCGGTCCCTCTATTAGAACGTAAAATCCACGAGGGTGAGGATTTTGTCTGCCCTGCTCTCGGTTGTATTCCTAGCACTTAGAACAGCGTCTGGCACACAGCAGATGCTTTATAAATAATATAGGAATGAATGGTTAAATGAATGAATAGATGGATGGCAGCGGGAGTTGGGCCACCTGGCTGTCCCAACTGGGGCCAGGCCTCAGGTCCACCATCTGTGAAATAGGTAAGCATTCATTGACTCAGTCAAATATGTACTGAGCACCCACTATGTGCCAGGCATGGGGATTCAGTGGAGAGCAAGCCCACAGTGGGGGCAACAAAAGAGGAGTCAGTCCATGATTGCAGCGTGACAAGGGCTGCTGCCATGGGGGATGCCAGGCGCACGGGAGCTCAGAGGAGGAACAAGACCTGGCCAGGCAGTGTAGGCAGGCTTCCTGAAGGAGGTGGACATCTAAGCTGAGGTCGAAAGGATAAATAGGAGTCATCCAGGGGAAAGGAGTTTGGAAGTGCACCAGGAAGAGGGGACAGCATGTGCAAAGCCCCAAAAGCAAGAGGGAGCATGGGGCCAATTCATGGAACCAGAAGGAGTTCAGTAAGCTGCTCCCCCAACCTCTGTGCACACGCCCCCTCCAAGGCACCAGTCCCCAGCAACCCAGCCAGTCCGAGGGTTGGGTCCCAGCCGCTGCCCCTCACCGGGTGGACACTGGCTGCACCGCCTCTGGGCCCTCTCGTCGTAGTATTCTCTTGGCTGGCACAAGTTGCTGGGCTCCGGGACAGAGCGGGGAAACACCACCTGGAGCGGGAAGGAAGGACGCCATCAGCATGGCAACCGGCGGAGTCCGCCACGCCTGACGCCAAGATCCCCGTCCCATGTCCTGTGAATGTGTGGCCCTCTCCCTGCTGAGGCCCTACTGATTGGGGACTTCTCCACGTGGAGCAGGTAGGAGTAGAAGGGAGAGGCCCTGGCTCCCTCCACCCCCGCCTCCTCCCCCATCTGCGGCACATGCCTGTCTGCAGGTGCGGGCACTGAGCAAGCTGGCTCCTCACACTCCACGGGGCGGATGTGGGGCCCCGAAGCTGCCCAGAAGGCAGGGGTCTTGGTCACAGAGAACCACAGTGCTCAGCACAAAGCTGCCCTCTAGGTAGGATGCCTTCCCTTCCCTCTTGCACCTGGGAATCGCCCCTTAGTCCTTCCAGCTGAGTACTGCCTCCTCTGGGAAGCCCTCCCTCACTCCCCCAGGCTGATTCAGGTTCCTCTTCCTCTGGGCTCTCTCTGAACACTGGATATGGTCCCTTCTCATGATCATCTCATCATGCTGAAATGGGGTGCCTATTTGTCCTTCTATCCCCGTGGGTGCACGTGTGTGCACATGCACACACGCACATACACACACACACACACCACACATCTGTAATGGAGAGGGCAGAAATGACGGCCTCGTCATCTCTAGACCCTCAGCCTCCAACGCAGGGCCCACAGCAGAGTTGGGGCCCGTAGAAGGCTATTTGTTGACGGCCGTGATGATGACAGTCACCATTTCTTAAGCACTTACAGGGTGCCAGGGACCGTTCTGAGGGCCCCAGGTACTCCAGTCAGTGGAGGCCGTTGCTCCCCACTCTGACCCCCTTTACCGGCAGGGCACTCCTCTCCCGCTGCCGGGGATGTTGCCTGATAATGGCTCCCAGCCTCCAGGTTCCAGAACCCCCGAGGCTCAGGCTGCAGGGAGGGAGGCTCAAGCTGCCCTCCCCTCCCCCTCCACAGCACCCCCAGCCTGCTCGCCCGGGAGTAGCCCGGGTGTCGGGAGCCATGCCTGCCAAAGCCTGAGGCAGCGGGGCCCTTGGCTGGCCCCTGCATCGAGGAAAGCGGACCTGGAAACCCAGCTGCCTTCCCGCTCAGCCTGGCAGGCAGCCCCAGACCCACCCGAGCTGCATGCAGCTCAGTGCTAATAGCTGGAAGCCATCAGGGGATGACCCCAAGGGGCTGGGGTTTCCTTCTGCGGAGCAATCTGTGACTTCTTGCCCCACGCACTTGCCTGAGCTGCCTCCTCCACCGGGAACAGACTGATGCTTCCTTTCACAAAATTTCATTTGTCCCTTCTGACAGCAGCTTCCCCCTGAAGGGTGCCCTGCCCGCACCCCTCCCTCAATAATCACTCGGACCCAGAATCCCAACCTTCCTCCATCAGGGTTCCTGGCACACGGGGCTGGACCCCCACCAGCTGGGCGCCCTATGAGGTTGTGCGCTGGGGGTGACTTCTTGCTATGACCCCAGAGCCTGGCATGTAGCAGGTGTCAGGGGTCGCTAATCTAAGCAGTGGCTTCATTACAATGTCATTTCCTGGAGGGGCCTGACCTCAGCACCAGGGCCATGAAGCCCAAGTACAGGTGCCCCCACCGTGGCGGCCTGCCCCTGGAGCCCTGCCCCCACCCCGAGCCCAGGCACAGGCTCAGAGCCAGACCCCAGGAAGTTAGCTCTAGAGAGGTTGGGAGAGATGCAGGTGGCTGGCACGGGAAGTGGGAACCATTCTGCATAGCACAGAGCCTAAAAATGTCAGTTCCATTCCCATCTGGACCATAAGCTTGCATGCCCATGGCTGGGCACACATATGCATGCACACATGTGCATGCACACACACACACACACACAACACACACACACACACGATCCCAGTCCTCCTGCACCCCCGTTGGGTCCTGGAGCCAGGCGCCTGGACAGCAGCAGGGGTCCTCACAGATGGCTTGGGACTCATAGCCCGTGTCCAAAGCACCCTAGGGGCCTGTTATTAACGCTGACTCCCACCCCAACAAACGGGGCAGCAGCTCAGGGGGTGGGCCAGGAAGCTGTGCTGTTAAAAAAAGAAAAAGAAAACCTCCTGAAGTGCTTCTGGTGCCTCGCTGCTGAACCTCGCTGAGCATCTGGCACCCATGGACGGAGGCAGACGGCTGGGTGGGGGCACACGGAGGAGACCCAGCGATCAAAGGCTGGGGGGCCCCCTAACCAGAGAGACCGTACCTTCTGCTGTTCCCTTCACATGCACCATTCAACTGCGCATTAACTGTCCCCCCACAGGCCCCAAACAGGCCTTCCCTGCAGGCTGCTGCCGTGTGGCTTCCCTGCTCTGCCTACGCGCCCCAAGAGGCAGCTGCCCTCCCCTCGGAGAGCATCCCGGAGGGTGGGGGGGGCGCACCTCCTTCCCTGCCACCCCCTGCCCCACAGGGCAGCTGGCACAGGACCCTGTGTCCCCCACCAGTACCTAGGGGAGCCCCTCACTCATGTGGGGCCTGAGAACCACAAAGCCAGGGCAGCTGTGGCAGGGGAGAGAAATCCCCCCACCGGCCCCAGGGCAGCCTCCTTTAGCCCAGCGGGACCTGCCCTGGCTGGGGGAGGATTTCCTGTCAGGCCCAAAGGGCCTGATGGGAAAGGGCCCTGCCATGGCCAAGTGGGGGCTCTCGCTCTACCCACAGGCCAGGGATTCCTGGACAAAGGCAGGCAGCTGGACCCCCACGGCCCCCAGGCCACTGCCCAGCAGCCGGCCCTCCAGGGTCTCTTCCTGTCTGGATCTGGCCACAAATACCCTCCCCTCCACTTCCTCCTGCTGCCCTGTGAGGCTCCAGCCCCGAGCCGCTGGCAGCTGGCGAGGGGTCAGCCCTCCCTTGAGCAATCTCGAAGCCTGTTTATCCTCTTGGACAGAAAAAGAAAAAAACCCACAGCCCTGTCATGGCTAAACAATGAGGAACAGAAAGCCCCTGCGCAGAACGGGACAAAAGGTCACTCCCTCCATGGCAGCGCTCCTCGAGAAGGGCCGCCCGGACCCCAGACCTGGGCGCCGGCCTCAGGCCAGCGCAGGGGCCACGAGGGCCGGAGTCCCTGAAGGCCCCCAGAATGTGGCGAGCAGCCTCCGGGAAACGTGGGGCTATGGCAGCTTCCAGTCCCTTTGGCTGGCCTTGGGGAGGCTCAGATCTATCTATACACCTCCCACCCACAGGGAGCTCTGACATTCTGAAATGAGGAAATAAATCGGACAGTACTCGATTCACCCAGCATGTTTAGCAGACTCAAGGTTTCAAAACACAGGGGCCCCAGGTGAAAATCTGGAAATCACTGATGAGCGTCGGTCACCCATCTAACAGGTGGGAAATCTGTGACGCCGTGCGAGGCGGGGCGGGTGGGCGGGAGGAGGAGATAGATGATGGATGGACAGATGAGAGATAGACAGCAAGTCAGAGAGAGAGAGAGAGAGAGGTAGGTAGGTAAGAGAGGAGGAGAGGAGGAGAGATGAAAGGAGGGAGGGAGGGAGGACCCATCTGACACCCAATGTGTGAGGCAGGTCTGACTGTGCCCATTTCACAGATGAGGAGGTGGAGATGGAAAGAGGCAAAGCCACCTCCCGGGGTCTCCAAAGGCTCTGGGCCATTCCAGGGCTGGCTGGCGGCAGGCTAACGGAGGACTGTGCTCAAGGAGGCCATGGGGGCCCAGCCCTCACCCACCGCAGGCCTTGGAGCTGCCTCACAGCCCCATTTCCTCTCCTCGGCACTGGGCTCCCCCCTCCCAGGACAGGAGGAACCCGCAGTCCGGAGGAGCTAGCACCTACTGTCTCCCAGGAGCGGCTAGACGCACCGTCTGGGACGGTCTCCCCCCACTTCACAGATGCTCAGAGACGCGAAGCGACGTGCCCAAGGCCACACCGGACCAGCTGTAGGCCTTGCCATCCCCGTCCTGCCGCCCTTCTCTTTGGGGCCCAAACTTCCCTTTCCCCTCGACACAGACCCAGCACCCCTGCCCACCAGGGGGTCTCCATCCTGCTCCAGGTTCTCAGCTTTGGCCCTTCAGGGAGGAAGGAAAACAATGGGATATTCGTTAAGCACCTACTATGTGCCGGGCCAGGCACCTTATAGAAGCCCACTTCCCCTGAAAAAGCTGGTGGGCGTGTGCCCATTTCACAGCGCAAGGAGATCAAGGCACTTGTCTGAGGTCATCCAGGAAGGAGGAGGTGGCCCTGGGATGTGACTCTTGCCCTGATCCCACTGGGGGATCTTTGGTCCCCTACTCGGGACAGCTGAAGGAGCCAGATGCAGGGATCCACCATCTGCCTTCGTCCTTGAGTCACTGCCATGCCACCAGCCCCCTCCAGCCACCTCCACACCGAGCAGTGACCGGAGTACTGACTCACATGGGCACACATGCTCTCTCTTACACACACACACACACACACACACCCCAATGCAGGGAACCCTCTTGGCCTCAGGCCATGATGCTCTGACCTCAGCTCTGACCTGGTTCACCAGGTGGCCACCCAGGAGCCTCAGAACGAACCCGTCTTCTGCAGCAGCCGGGGACACTCAGTACCTGGGCCCTGGCTCTGCCCAGAACTGCATGAGTCACCGGGCTCCTGAGAGGCCCATCCTTGGCTGGCAGCCCCTCAGCAGGCAGGGGCAGGGGCAGCACAGGCTCAAAGGAGGAGTCTGCGAGTAGGGAAGCTGATTGGCAGCTGTGCCGAGTGCTGGAAGCATGTGTGGCAGCCAATGAAGACCGTGACAAGGCCCAGCACTGGGGGCAGGATTGAGGCACAGAAGCTCAGGGCGGGCAGGAACCTCAGACATCATCTCAGACGACCTCCCATTTAGTGGTGGAAAGTCAGGGGCAAAAGTGGAAACGTTCATTCATTCATTCAACAAACGTACTGAGCACCTGCTGTTGTGGGTACCGGGCATACCGCATGGAACACATCCAAGTCCCTGCCTCGGGGGGCTGAGCTCTAGGGCAGGAGACACAGACATGCACAGGAGAAAGTG